TAAAGGAGTATAAATAAACTTACCGTGAGGTTAAAAAGTGAAAATGATTGATGCTGTTCAACACATTAGAGCGATTCTGTTGTAGACGTAGTTGTCTGTAATTGAACATCACTCTGATTAATTATATTAGCCTGTAACATTGAGGCTGTAATGGAAAATCCACTGGAGTTACAACATGAAAGCATCCAAGCTGAGTGCTTATAATGAAGGAGGAGAAATTAAATTGCCATTGTGTGAAAATAGTAACATTTATTCACTTAACAGACGCTCCGATGCAACTTACAAACGAGTACGCAAACCATTCATCATACTATAAATGATTAATCTGACTCTCCAGAGTAAAGCACAGAAGAACAACAGTGGAAAGATTTATGTTATGAGTACAAATGAGTGCTGTTATATTAACATCTCATATGCGCCTGAGTCTAAATGACAGCGATTGGGTTTTTACTGCAATGCACTTTACCCCCAGCCCAAACACAGGCGCTGTAGGGGAATTGGATAGACTTGGATAGACGTGGGTCTCCTCCTGGTGCTCCGCTTTCCCCCACAGTCCAAACACATGAGCTATAGGGGAATTGGAGAACTACATTGGCCATAGTGGATGAGTGTGTGTGTGTGTGTGTGTGTATATGTGTGTGTGTGTGTGTGTGTGTGTGTGTGTGTGTGTGTGTGTGTGTGTGTGTGTGTGTGTGTGTGTGTGTGTGTGTGTGTGTGTGTGTGTGTGTGTGTGAATGAGTGTGTGTGGGTGCTTCCCAGTACAGGGTTGCAGCTGGAAGTGCATCCGATGTACAAATCATATGCTGGAATAGTTGTCGGTTCATTCCACTGTGGAAACCTCTGAAATAGAGACTAAGCTAAAGGAAAATGATTGAATGAATGAACATGTGTTGTTGATTTCTTCACAATAATCCAGTAAAAAGGGCAAATCTGTTAGAACAGCTATAGCTATCAGTCATAAAACACACACACACACACTCACTCAAGGGTGTGACGGCCTTGTTTGACATTTTCACATCCACTCCATCATCATATGCTAAACAGAGAGAGCCGCTAATAGCAAGAGCTGTCACGTAAACAAATCACAGGAAGACTAATGAACAGTCCAGAAGATCCATTCTAGCTGTGTTCATCAGATATAGCCAACCTGTCATTGTTTGTACTAATAAAGAAATGAAGGGTGGCACGGTGGCCCAAACTTTTCAGCCCTCAGCCCCCAAAATTACAATGCCAGTGACTTGCCACCCTCTGGGATGGTTATAAATGTACAAACCTTGCATGCAACAGTGCACACATACCAATAGGCCCAAGTCTATTCTTCGTTTAATAGTTTTTCAATGTATGCGAATGCTGTTAGTGTCTTTATTATAATGTAATATAATTGTTGTTTATGACAGTTCAGGAGTAGAAACGAGATTAAAAATTGAAGTGAAAGCATTTCTGCAGCGTACAGACAGCAGATGTTTTGAACTTTGTCAGGTTATAGTCTATCTGTCATCAGCGTTTGCGACTGAGGGCTCTAATTTGAGGGTCCAAAGTGCACAGCGCAGGGCGCAAGCCCTTTCAGGGCGTGAAAGAATCCACTTTTGCTATTTTAAGGACAGGAAAATCCGCTCTGCGCCGTGGCGCATGGTCTAACAGGGTTGAGCTTGTTCTCTTAATGAGTTATAGGTGTGTTTTGAGAATAAACCAATCAGAGTCTCATCTCCCATTCCCTTTAAGAGCCAGTTGCGTCGCGCCATAAGCGCATTTGCTATTTACAGGACGCAAAGTAAGTGGAAGTGGAAAAACTGAGCATTTCACAAGCAAGAAAACCGTTAAACAGAGCTTCTACAGCGCGAGAATGAGAGAAAAGTCATCTCATAATCTACTTTCGCTCTCGTGGATAGGGAAACCTTGTACACACAGACATCAATTAGCCTATAAATAATTAATTTAGTTTGTTAAGCGCAAAGATTTGCTTCAAAACTATTTCTAAATTCAGTTCTAATTTCCAGCAAACGAATAAATGAACAATTATAACAAATGTGCTCAAAAACCTGAGTTATATCCAAATACACATGCTGTGCCCCATATGGTCTAAAACCTGACAGGTGGACAAATGTAAGCTTGTTTTTAATAAAACAAATATAAATATGGACATAACAAATAATACTGCTAATAATAATAACATTATATAAAAGCAAATTGTAATGAATAAGCTGAAAACTGTTTCTTCTTGTCTTGTTTCCCGTGTTTAGACCTTAGCCTTGTTTATCCTTGTTCTCCTGTTCAGCCGCCCGCCTTACGACCTATTGCCTGTGTATTGATTATGACTCTGGATTTGCCTGTGTAACCCTGCTGGTCCTACTCCACCCAACCCGCTCCGAGCTGGTTTCGAACCGGCGACCTTCCGCATGGGAGTCAGGTGCTCCACCAAGGAGGCTAAAGACCATGGCCTCTAGTATCTGTTGCTAGAGCACCTTTAGAGGTCAAAGGAGTGAGGTTTACCTGCACAGCACACACTAGCTGGCCTCCGTTACACTCACCCCCCTAAACCTCACTCTCATCTGTGTCACGGCACCAATGTAACCCCGCTGGTCCTACGCCACCCAACCCGCTCAGAGCTGGTTTCGAACCGGCGACCTTCCGCATGGGAGTCGGGTGCTCTAACGAGGAGGCTAAAGACCATGGCCTCTAGTGTCTGTCGCCAGAGCACCTTTAGAGGTCAGAGGAGTGAGGTTTACCTGCACAGCCCCTACTGGCTGGCCTCTGTTACACTCACCCCCCTAAACCTCACTCCCATCCGGGTCACGGCACCAATGTAACTCCGCAGGTCCTACACCACCCAACCCGCTCCGAGCTGGGATCAAGCCGGCGACCTTCCGCATGGGAATCGGGTGCTCTACCAAGGAGGCTAAAGACCATGGCCTCTAGTGTATGTCGCTAGAGCACCTTTAGAGGTCAGAGGAGTGAGGTTTACCTGCACAGCACACACTAGCTGGCCTCCGTTACACCTGCATATACCTGTTCACACCTGATTTGACCATTGCTTGCTTGACGCTGAATAAACCTGCATATTGGATCTTACCTCCAGTTGTGTGTGTCACCCCCGGGGTTATTTATGTAGGCTAGAAAATAATATGTTTTGTTATATTTTAATCCTTTATATTTGTATCCTATATATATCCTTATTATATCCTATATATATCCTTAATATTTTTTATCATTTTTCATTTGTAAAGATATTTGTGTATTGCTCTACATCTTGTGTGTATTACGCAGTGTGTAAGCGAGGCGCACAACTAACGCGCTGTGCACTGGACTTTAGACCAACTTTGTTTTGGTCTATTGAAAAATCTATTATATTTTCTCAAAATAGCAGTGCGCCTCAGAATGCCTCCCTTTTTAGACCATGGGCGCACATATGAGCGCAAATGCATTCGCTATTTAAACAGCGTGGCGCAAAACGACTCTTGCGCCTAGCTGAAACTAGCAAACAACTAGTGCGTCGCTTCTTGCACCACATTGCGCCGGGTGTATGATAGGGCCCTGAATCTCTCTGAAGCAAGCAAATCCATCTGTGTGTCTTGATCCGTGAGCATGGAGCTGCTTAAAGCTCAAACTGTAAAAGTGTTTGGAGTTTATCCAGACAGAGCTTGATTATTCCCGTGTCTTTGTGCAACGGCTCGTGCTTCAGACACACACACATGTACTGTGCGAAAGGATTGGTGTGTAATACTGAAACCGGCCGACTGCTCATTATCTGCCAGATCAGCCATCGGCATCTGTTCCTCCTACAGACCTCAGATCAGTGTCAGGACTCAAGCTGGTGATGTGAAGGAGCCTGCCATGCACAGAGAGTCTGATTCTGTAGATGGACAGACAGACAAACTCCACGAGATTATCTCTCCGACAGGCTTCTGGAAGGGGTTTCTGCTGTCGTTGTGAATGATGATGGTTTCTGAGCTGAAGTTCAGTGAGTTTGCCTTCGGATCATCTCCTTTGTTGGTGTAAAAGTTGTATTTGGCTCGGTTTAAAGTCTTTGTGAAGTCGAAATTTGCAGTGTTTATTTTGGTGGATCAAATCGTTGCTCTTTTTGTAAACAATTAATCTGTGCAATGAAAGAAGAAATCTTCAATCAAAGTCTGATCATTTGCTTCCACATTTGGAGAGATGATCCAACCAGCACTGGCTCATTCTGAAACTGTACCCCCATATACATTTCTGGAGATCGCAAATTATGTATCCAGAAGTACGTATGGCTGCTTTTCGTCTTTAAAACGAATGCTATGGGGCGGTATGATGGTGTTTCTTTTCTCGCTTAACAGCTGACCGCTTCGCTGTCACCAGTTTGTCCAATGGCTTGTTGTGTATGTCGGTAGACTTGAGACGCAAAGCGGAGTTGACCGTGACGACAGGGTTTGAGTCCGGCGAAGAATGGTTCCAGAAAGCAGGCAACAAATACCAAAAAACAAAATAAACAAGTAAATAACTGGGTGAGAATGTGGTAATGTTGAAAACACTGGGTTGAGTTTAGAATAGGAGGCGATCGGGTCAATCTGTGCTTTTCAAAACACTCGGTTGAGAAGAAGAGAACAGCATGTGCGAGTGGCACTCGCGAGAGAAATTTGAGATCTTGTCATTCGTTTTCTATGAGGCAATGATGTTAAAAAAGAAGTGGCGCAGTAGGTAGTGCTATCGCCTCACAGCAAGAAGGTCGCTGGGTCGCTGGTTCGAACCTCGGCTCAGTTGATATTTCTGTGTGGAGTTTGCATGTTCTCCCTGCACTCGCGTGGGTTTCCTTTGTGTGCTCCGGTTTCCCCCACAGTCTAAAGACATGCGGTACAGGTCAATTGGGTAGGCTAAATTGTCCGTAGTGTATGAGGGTGACAGGCCCAGAAGACATGCCGGCAGGAATGTGTAAAAAAAGTTGTTATCATATGGACAAGTCTAAATGGAGGACTTGTTCCAAAGAGCTGACCCCGCAACCATACGGGACTAAGGCCAAAGAAGAAGAAGAAGAAGAGGAGGAGTTGGAGGTACATCAACATATTGGAATAAGTCTCAGTAACTTCAACCTACTTTTACTTGACTTTAACTTAGGGGAGCTCGATTTTGGGAAACATCATAATCACGATTATATTTGTCAGAATTCTAATCACGATTATTCAAAACAATTACTGTTGAAGTCAAAATTATCAGCGCTCCTGAGAATTAAAATGTATATAAAAATTTCCCAAATGATGTTTAACAGAGCAAGGAATTTTAACAGTATTTCCTATTATATTTTTCCTTCTGAAGAAAGTCTTATTTGTTTCATTTCGGCTAGAGTAAAAGCAGGTTTAAAAAATTTTAAACCTCTTTTAAGGTCAATATTATTAGCCCCTTTAGGCAATATATATATATATATATATATATATATATATATATATATATATATATATATATATATATATATATATATATATATATATATATATATATATATATATATATATATATATATATATATATATATATATATATATATATATATATATATATATATATATATATATATATATATATATATATATATATATATATATATATATATATATATATATATATATATATATATATATATATATATATATATACATACACACACGCACACACACACACACACACATACATTTTTACCAGTATTTAAGATCTAAAACATGGAATATATTCAATTCAATTCAATTCAGCTTTATTTGTATAGCGCTTTTACAATGTAGATTGTGTCAAAGCAGCTTCACATAAATGGTCATAGTAACTGGAACAGTGTGGTTCAGTAACTGGAACAGTGTGGTTCAGGTTTTAGTGTTTAAGTTCAGTTCAGTTCAGTTTAGCTCAGTTCAGTGTGATTTAATCATTACTGAGAGTTCAAACACTGAAGAGCCAATTCATCGATGTGTAGCTCTACCAATCCTGAACCATGCA